TGCTGACATCATGGTCCTTCATCTCTAAAAACTTGAGTATATTTCCTGAGAACAAGGACATTCTCTTATACAACCACAGAATAATTATCAAAATTATACTTAATACTCACACAGTGTTATCTAATCCACAGTCCATATTCAAGTTTCACTAATTGTTCCAATAATTTCCTTTATTTTTTTTCCTGGCTGAGAATGCAATCTGAGATGACAGATTGCATTCAGTTGTCATGTCTCTTTTAATCTGGAAGTTCCTCAACCTTTCTTTGTCTTCCATAACCTTGACATTTTTGAAAAATACAGGCCAGTTATTTTGTACAATGCCCTTTAATTGGGGTTTATCTTAAGTTTCTTCATAATTAAATTCCAGTTATACATTTTTGGGAAGGAATGTGCCATAGAAGGAATGCTGTGGCCTTCTCAGAGTACAGCATCAGGTGGCACATGGTATTTTGCCCCAGTATTTATGATAGTTAACTTGGATCAACTGGTAACTCCTGTCTGAATCAAATAATGCTACGATGAATGCAAAATATAGTGAATTTTTAAACTACATCATTTCTTCTCCATTTATCAGTTGACATTCTAACGTCAAAGTGAGCTCTAACTTCTCCATTTATTTTATTCATTGAGTAAAAATCTATTGATATAATTTTGACGCTCAGGTTATCCCAGATTTGACAGGCCCCTTCAAGCTGGTTCTTGTGACTTTTTAACCTGAGCACTTCCTTACCCTATGGCAAAATAACACAATTCGCCATCCTTTCGTACTTTCTCTGCTCCAGCCCTGCAATCAGTCACTTCTTCAAGTAGCTCTGGTTTCTTTTAGTGCGGAATGTTTAATGGGGTGTCCTTACTTCTGCCTTCTCAGTGGACAGAGCTAGGAAATACATGAGGGTATGTACATATCTCACAAATATACATACACACATACCCCTTATATGCATATACCTACATCTATTTATCTTTCTCTCTATATATGTACACATACATGCCATACACACAAATACAACTTATGGATGTATATATAAACCATACATACTTCAAGGTTCATCCTAGTCTTTATTGTATTTGTACTGTATGTATAACCCCCTTCTCTAACAGTAAGAAAGCCAGTCACCATCAATCTCAATGTTTAATCATTTGCAAAATCACAAAATTCACAGAAAGTATTCACAGAATTCACTTTCACAATTGCTAGATCATACCACCGTAAAAACAAGTCTACAACAGGCCCTCAAATGTTTCATTATGATGCAGATGAAGAAAAAAAAATCCATTCCCAGCTGGGGGCCCCTGTCTCTGTAGAGTTTGCCTGTTCTCCCCATGTCTGCATGGGTTTTCTCTAGGTGCTCCAGTTTCCTTTCACATCCCAAAGATGTGCACATTAGGTGAACTGGCATGTCTAAGCGGTCCCACTGTGAGTGAGTATGGGTCTGTGAGTGTGCGTCCTGTCTGGGGTTGGTAATCTCTTTGCACTGCGCTTCTGGGATAGGCTCCGGCCACCTGTGACCCTGAACTAGAACAAGTGGGTTAGAAAATGAAGGAATGAATACAAAGTATTGTAAAATAAAAATTCATAAAGCATATAAGAATCCTATAAATGCACGATGATAAATGATGTATGAAAGCGCTCAGTGAATCCACTACATTGGTTATTGTTTGTTTTTGAACTTCGTGGTGGTAGGAGATGCTCCTTACAATTTTCACTTTGTGTGGCTCACACCTGTAATCCTAGCACTCTGGGAGGCTGAGGCAGGAGGAT